GTACATCTTGAACTTCCAAATCTCTTGACTGTGAGAGAATCCATTTCTGTGGGGTTTTTTGTTTGTTTGTTTGTTTGTTTGTTTGTTTTGTTTTTTAAGCCACCCAGTTTGTGGCATTTTGTTATCATAGACCAAAGAAACAAATGTAATCCAGCAATGGAGGCCATCTAATCTAAGCTACAGAAATGCCCTTTAGCTACACCTGGAGGCTCAGGGTTCTAAAAACTGGAATGATGACTTTGGGAAAGGCAGGCCTGACACATGTAATTCAACATACCATGATATGACAGATTTTGATGATACCAGGTGATAGTTGAGGACAAGGCCTTAGATCAAGTAAACGAGAAGCTAATTGAGAAATTTAACAGCTATCACACGATGTATGTAGCAATGGTATGGTGTGAACTAGCCCTGAATTGGGGTGGGGACTTTTAGGCTTTTAGAGAACAAGACTGACAGAATTTAATGTTTCAGCTGTGTGAATCATGTAGTGGAGAGAACATGTAGCAGTGTGGTGTGGTAAACAAGAGATAGGTTTAAGAGTTCATAAAAAAATTTTAGAATATTTTAAAGATCAATACATGTATTGATAGATTGGGTAATAGTAAACAACAGGAGGATAGAAATCCTTGTTGATTCTCAATAATACTGAAGACTTTGTGGAGGCATGGGCTTTTAATTACACAAAAGAGCATTAAATTAACAATAATATTTACCAATATTCTGTTCAAAATGCTTTTCAAACACCAAATAATTACCCAATTAAGCCACTGTAAGATAAGCTGTTATCACTGAGAATTTAGTGAAGAAGACTAATAATTATTATTACAACAATTTCTCTGAAGTAAGACAGTGTTTACCATGTATAACTAAGAACAGCTCACACCATCTTAATGAGGAGAGAGCAGAAGAAACAAAAGGCTGATTATCTACGTGAACTCAGCAGGAAACAGAGTTGCCTAAGAACCAAGCATCACGGCCCGCAGATAGAAAATTTAACATGCAAAGCAAGATCAAATTGGCAGAAGGCTATTTATGAATATTGCCAATACTGAATATCACAGACTGACAATAGAGAATCTTTGGTCATGCCCTGAACAACATAATTCATCACACCAGTGCTCGGGGCAGTCATGTCCAAGCAATTTATCATCATCATATCACTCGTTGAGTACAAGAAGGGGAAAACGTTGATTGTTAACCTCTAGGGAGGGTGGATTTATAGCTGTCGCCCCTCAGAATGCAGCCTGGCTCTGCCCAAAGCAGAATGTTCCTTGCTTCACTTCTGTTTAAGTCATAGTCAAAGAAAGCACGATGCCTACAGGATTCAGTGAGCAAAGCCCCAAACTGATATTCTGATACCCAAATAGGATAGTCAGGAAATCGTATTTTAAATGTCCTTTAAGCTGCATGAAAAAAATTAGTCAATGGTAAATATACATGATTCATTTCAAATGTCCTTTGGTGACAAATCAATTTTGGAAGTGCATTCACTGATAACTACATTTGGGAAGGAATGTCTCTTCACAACTCATCTATGATCATTCCTCCATGTTGGAAAACTTGGCAGCATGAAACACACACACACACACACACACACACACACACACACAGATTTCCACCCTTTCTGGGTATTGAGTCTGTATGTATTTTTACTTACTGACCCTGGCTGTGCTTGCAGAATGTAATTGAGCATCTAATTCAGTGGTTCTTAACCTTCCTAATGCTGTGACCCTTAAAGTGGTTCATCATGTTGTGGTAACCTCAACCATAAAATTATTTTTGTTGCTACTTCATAACTGTAATTTTGCTACTGTTATGAATCATAATGTAAATATCTATGTTTTCTGATGGTCTTAGGTGACCCCTGTGAAGGGGTTTGTTCAACCTCCAAAGGAGTTGTGACCCACGGGTTGAGAATCACTGATCTAACTGCTACTCTTTCCACCTTTGTTTTAAATCATGAAGCTGACTAGGGCACTGTGGGAAATAGTGTGCCTGTCATCCTCCCAACAGCGAAATGGATATTAGTCATAATAAAAGCCCTGTACAACCAGCACCTTCCATGAGGCTCTCTGGGTATCTGGTGAATTGGACACAGAAACACCTGGTTGAATGCTGCTCAGACCTCCTGGAGTCTGTAAGGCAGACTAGGTGAGGATGAGGATGCACCAACAAATTCTCCAGTCTCAGAGACTAAAGGCAATGAAAATGTATTCCTAGGCCACTTCAGATGTCTACACTAAGTGGTGGTTTGTGCTGATTGCCAACTTGAGAAGAATCTAGAATTGCTTAGAAGACGAACCATCAGGGGCTAAATAGAGAGAGCCTGTCTCTCTCGGATGAACCTCAGTCCTCAAGTATAGGACATTCTTACAAGAGGAAATAAATAACGAAGTTATAAATATAGTGTGCCATATGGGGATTAGCAATATGGGGGAAAAGAAAGTGAGTATGAAGACAAGGAATACTAAGCCAAATAAGGGTACTAAAGGGTTATAGCAAACATCAGGAAAGTGCTGATTGTGTGACGTAGACAACTTCACTTCTCTGCCTCCACTGCCACTGGTGACACCAGACCTGTTCTCAGCTTGTGTTTGGGTTTCATCACACCCACTTTCGTGTTACTCCCCTGTTCCCTGCAGTTAGTACACTGAGAGCCAAATGACACAAATCCGCACATAACCTGCACCCCCACACATCTCCAACTTCATCTTGAACCGGACACTGAAACCTTCCAGAAGTTCCAGAATGCATCAAATTCTTTCATGCCTCCCCTGCCCTTGTAGGTCCCAGTAAAAGGGATATCTTTAAGTCCTTCTCATCTTCCTACATCAGAAGCTAAACTGGTGAGGCAACTCCATCACCAAATAAAAAAGCACACCCTCTCCACCATAACCCACCCCAGCCCCCTACTTACAAGTTGCATATGTATATTAATTTGCTTGTTGGCGCCTACATCCCCCAGCAGAATATGAACTCAAGAATCTGGTGTCTTTATTTGTCCTGCTCTCATTATAGTCCCTGTGAGTATTCAGGCTCAGAGTACATATTTATTGATTGAATAAAGTAGCCCTTCCTGACCACCTTGTAATTTCAACACCAGATGTGACCAAAATATCATTAACTGAAAGCAGTATCTTATTTTCATAAATCCATAGATTATTAGGTTGAGTCAAGACTTAGAGATCAATGATCTCCGTGTGCCTAGGAAAGCTGAGTAACTTCTATAAAGCTGTGTTGACTACAGAGTTGCAAGCAGACAGACTCATCATCGGTCCAAGTTCTTCAAAACAGCAGCTACTTTCTCTCTCTTTAAATAATATTATTTTTTATTGTTGGGGGTTGGTCAGAGGGCCTTGTGCATGCTAGGCAAGCACTATGCCACTAAGCTTTAGTCCCAGCCCCTTTTTAATTTTCTATTTTGACCCAGGTTCTTGCTCTGTAGCCCAAGCTGGTTTGGGACTTGGAATCCTCTTGCCTAGGCTTCCTGAGTAGCTTGGGCAGGTGTTTGCCACCAGACCAGGCCCCCAGAAAGGACTCTTATGCTGTATTCTAGATCCTGACCTTAGACTCTGTTGGGGGTCAGACAAGCTTATAATATACAAGGTGGAAACAGTCTAAGGGAGAGCATAGACTTCAGAGTCAGAAAAACAGACTTTCTCCTAACACCTTCCAGCAGTGTTGCCAGAGCAGTGTTCTGTACCTGATCTTGCTCATTTGTACTGTGAAGCTACCTGGCATGCTGTGTGAGGGATTAAAGTGTAGAGTTCAACTAACTTTCACTAACTGTCAAAAAAACAGTACTTGGACATCCCTGGCATTTGGAATCCAATGATAGAAACAAAAAAAATCCATTTGCTCTTTTATTCCAAAATTACATATGTTATTCTAACTTTGATAATTCTATTTTTTGTTTGTTTGTTTGAGACAGGGCTCACTATGCAGCTATGGCTGTCCCGGGACTCACTTTGTAGACTAGGCTGGCCTCAAAGGGATCCGCCTGCCTCTGCAGTGCTGGGATTAAAGGCATGGACCACCACAGTCCAGCAACTTTGATAACTCTAAGGCAACATCCAGCCTCCACAAATGAAAACATAATTTCATAAAGACACATTTGGTGAAGCTGGAGTTCAAATTATCCTTTTGAATACCATTATTTGACCCAACAACAGTCAGAAATGTTTCAGTGTGCACTGTGGTTTTTCTTCCCTCCCTCCCTCCTTCTTTCCTTCCTTCTCTCCTTCCTTCCTTTTCTTTGAAGGGATTGGTCATTTGTAGAACGGTATCAGGCCTCAAGGATAACTGTTGGACATTCCTTCTGTCTGTGTAAACTAAAAAGGAATAGGCCAAGTGGGTAGTCTGGGGACTCTTCTTACAGTGGTTTCTTCTCTGTAGCAATGAATAATGGAACCTTAGGAGCAGGAATTAAGCGCTTGTCAATCTGCTCTATATCTTCGGAGATTTGAAGATGTCCCCTTTGGCAGGTATCACTATACCCACGGTATCTTTATAGCTACCACTCAATATCAGGGCTGTATAAACTTCGCTAAAAGATCTAAGCAGATGAATTTAAGTGCTGGAATACATGTACAAGAAGGTAAAGGCTTCAGGCTGAAGGTTCTGATGTCAAAGCTTGTTAAAGAAACCCCAAGCGAGGAACAGAGGCCTCCACTTTCCATTTCCCCTCCCTCCCCAGCACAGCTGCTCCAACCTAAAGCTCAGCACTAAAGCTGAGCAGAGCAAGCAAAGTGCAGGACCCGCCCAGGGTAGCGAGCTTTCAAGTTAGACTTTGGGAGATCAGCGCCCTCAGAGCCCAGGCCAGCTCCCCAAGGCCTGGACTCCTGAAGCCAGGCCCCCCAGTATTTGCAACCTCGCAGGAGACTTTGAGAGAAAAGTGGCAGAGCCACAGTGCAGCTTTCCTGGCCCAGAATGGGGTTTCACGTGTCTCCTTGCCGGACAAGCCCTGAGTTCCAGGCTTTGGTCCCCACATTTCCTACCGGGCCCACAGCTCCTGCACCGGCTCCGGGGCTTCCTTCCTCCTGCCTTTCGCCGTCTGCTCCCCTGGGAATTTGAGCTAGGACTGCTTCCCCTCCCCTTTAGTAGTTCCCCTTCCCTCCCACTTTGCCTTTTCCTCTAGCCTTTTCCCCGCCCACTCACCCTATGTTACGCCCCACTCCAGCCCAAAGCCACTCCCAGCGAGCTCTTGCCACCCCTGAGACCAAGCCTATTAGGTTCCTGTTCTGCCAGACAAGCATTTAGGCCCAGGCTGAGCTCCCACCAGCTAATGTGCACGCCTTAAGCTTGCAGCTAAGGAGCTGCTCTCAAAGGCTAAGCTAGGAGCCCATCCACTCTACACCCTAATTGTTCCATTTCTCTTTGGCTTGGTTGATGTTAGATCCTCAAGAGGAAAGGAAGCAGCAGGATTTTCACCAGGTCTCAATTTTCCATTAAACAGCCTGGAAAGGTGGATTCCTTGAGTAACTTTTTCTGTGTCCTCCAAGACTATCAGAGCACTGAGCACTGCCCATTTGGTGTCGGGCTGCATTTTGGATCCCCCTGCTTAATGCTCAGAGCTCTGGTTTTGTATTCCCTGTTGGGTTATTATGCTACACTAGAGCGTTTGTAGCAGGCCTGGAACTTGATATCACTGGAGCAAGCTTAGGAAATAGGCGGGGGTCTACAGAACATGGTCAGTAGGAGCTACTGATGTGATACAGAGTAACACCTTTCTGTTTGTACTACCAGTTCATTTGAATCTGAAATCCGAGGAAAAGAACCTCAGAGCAGTCATTTCCGAGGAAGAGAGTGGTTTCGTGGGACCAACTGATGGTTGATGGAGGCTGTTCTGGTATGCTTTAAAATCAGTGTGTTTTGTGCTGAAAAAAAATTTTTTTCTTTTTAAATTTATTTATTAGTTCTAGTTAGGGAACAAGCTTGTTTCACATGTAAGTCCCTTCTCCCTCTCCCTCCCCTCACCCCCATCCCTCCTCCCCCACCCCCAGTCTATCCCCCCACCCCATCCACCCACCACTCCCCAGGCAGGGTAGGGCCCTCAAAGGGGGCTCTGCAAAGTCCACCAAATCTTCCTGTGCTGGTCCTGGGCCCTTCCCCATGTGTCCAGGGCCAGAGTGTAACCCTTCACGTGGGATGGGCTCTCAAAGTCCCTTCTTTTGTGCTGAAAATTTTAAAATAGATTTTTATTTGTTTAAAAATTGTTTTTACATTTTATTTATTTGTGCGTGTGAAATGGTTTTCCTCAGATTCCCTTTCACTGTATGGGTCCCGGGATGGAACCCGGGTTATCTGACTGGATGGACAAGTCACCTTTAACTGCTAAGTCATTTTGCAGGCCCTTGTGATTAATGTTTTAACAACCAACACATGACTTTTTTCTCTAGTTATAGGCAAGAAAACAGACTTAGAGAGTAATCATCAAGTTCAAGGCCAGAAATAAAATTCAGTTTAGTTGATATCAACCATGGTATCATATCTTCATAGGGGCCCCTGGTTGGAGGGCAGGAAGTAAACTTATTTTAGTCAGAAGGCAGGGAAGCAAAAAAAGGTTTCCCTCTTTCCTCATTTACTTTTTTTTTTTTTTTTTTTTTTTAAGCAGTGTTAGAGTATGAGAAGCCCCCGAGAAAGGGGATAATAACGACACATATTGAGAACCATGTGGCTGGGTAAATCCCAGAAGAAAGGATGAGAATAATTGTAGGGCTTCAATATCAGAGAGACAAGAATAAATGAATAAATGTAGAGTTAGGAAGCAGAGCACCCTCCTTTGAGTCCTGGGAGGGGTGAATCTTGCTGGAGGGAGCGGGGCTCAGACAGAGATTGGAGAAGGAATAGATGGACTGAGGGGCGCCGTCGGAGTGATTTCAGTGCTGGCTAACACTTTCCATTGCTTGCACTGTAACCATGAAGCCATATAAATGTGTACCTGACAATGATTGTTTAAAAGAGGCGTAAAAGTCATTATTTATAATGTTATGTGTTTTATCAGCCCATGCTCCCAGAGGTGAAATTATGCACAAGGTTCATGTTAAAAACTGACTTTGTTTTTTCTTTATGGAAGTTACTAAGTTCTCTGCTGACCACATTAAACTCATAGAACAGTATTCATGATGGATCTCACATGCAGACTCTTACCTTCTGTGGCTTTTATTCCTTAAAATGATAGTGTTAAATAAAAATGACCATATGCTTTATTTATTTTTGAAGGAAACAGCAGCAAAGAAATTTCAAATTAATATGTAAAATATTTACTTAGATTAAGACATCCCCTCCCCCATACAGTGAGTCTGTGGGCAAGAGTGAAACACTTTAAGCATGTTGTGTCAGCACATACATTGTTATCTTGCTGCATATGATAAGTGATTTTGTGTGCTACTGCTAGCTAACTAACAAATACCGTTAGATTTTAAAAATAAATCAAATAGGGGTTACAGAGATGACCCACCTATTGACCTTGTAGAGGAGCCCAGTTCAGATTCCAGTACTCATGTTGCACAGCTCACAACACCAGGTAACTCCAGTTCCAGAGGAGCCAACATCTTTCTTCTGCGTCCTCAGGCACCTGTACTCACATTCACAGACCCACACATAGACATTTACATATAACGAAAAGTAATAAAATGTTTATTACAATTCCATATGTAATTATTGTATTTACATTATTTCCCCCGTCTTGTCCTCCCTACAACTTCTCCCATATCATCCCCTTTCCTTCTCAAATTCATAGCTTCTGATTTTTTAATTACTATTGTCACACATATACATAATTTATACATAATACAATCTGTTGAGTTCATTTAGTGTCACTCACATGTATTTAGGGCTGACCACTTGGGTTGGATCATGTATCGGGGAGCTCCTCCCTGGAAAAGATCAGTTCTTCCTCTCAGCAACCATTAATTGTCTGTAAAGCTGCATCTAAGGGTGGGGCCCTGTGAGATTCCTCCCACCCACATTGGCATGTCAGTTGGTATTATCATTTTCAGGTCTTATTTAGGCAGCCATATGTACCAGGCTGTTTTTTGGGGGAGCTTCCAACCATCTCCCAAATCATGACACAGACACTTATTATTAGTTTTGAATGTTCAACCTTAACTTAGCTCTTATTCTAATCTGCTTTTATTCATTTACATCTTGCCTTGGCACTTTTTACCTTTCTTTCATTTTGTACATCTTACTTTCACTGTTTTTTTATGTCTGGCTGGCTGATGGCTGCCGGACTTCTGACCCTGGGCATGGTCCTTTCTTTCTCCCTCATTCCCTTCTTTCCTCTCACTCCAGGCTAGATTTTTCTCCTAACTTATCCTCTCTGCCTGCCAGCCCCACTTATCCCTCTTCTGCTTAACTATTGGACATTCAGCTTTTTATTAGACCAATCAGATGCGTTAGGTAGGCAACGTGAAACAAATGTATCCCCATATTTACATAATTAAACAAATGGATCATAAACAAATATGACATACTTTCACATAGTTAAAGTAGTATTCCACAGCATAAACAAATGTATCACATCTTTGCATAGTTAAAGTAATTCCCCCAACAGCCGTGTTATTGAGATCTCATGGGTACTATTCCCTGTCATGTGTAGAAGACACTATGTCACAGCAGATGCCCTAAATCTTTTTTTTAATGCCAAAACCCCTTTATTGTTGATCTTGGAATCTATTAGCTCTGTATATAACAAAATAAGAACGACTGCAAAGGAAGCATTATGTTATTTAACAGACAGAAAAGATAATCCAGCATCATCAGGCTTGTGTTCCACTTCATTATTAAGTCTTTCTTTCTGGAGAAACTTAGTTTGGAGATATTTTTGAATCCTGGAGTAATAATGCCTATGATGAAATACTGAGTTGAAAACCACATTATTAAGGAACCAAAGGCTTCAAAATCAACCTCCCAGTTAAGGATTTAGTTCAAACACACTCTCAATTCTACAGTGTTCGCTTTTCATTCTCACAGGGTCTTTGAATGTCAGTGGTACCTGTACTCAGACACGCTAAACTGGCAGAGAGAATGAAATCAAACTCAGACCTTCATAGTCCCTTGCTGTTTGGGTTAAAATGCAAGAAATGTCCAGGTTTTTCACAGTCCTGGTTAGTTGTTTTAATTATGGACACAAACAGTTTATAGAAATACCCTAGAGAACAAAACCCAGAATAATCCAGAAAAGCATCAGGGAGTTAATAATGGGAAGCACAATGTTATCAGCACCTTGTTAATTAGACATTAGCATTTACAGGGGGCTTGAGAAGGTCTTAGTCTCAGATTTGATCATAGTGTGGTGAACTATTCCTATCATTTCTAGGAAACATAATATCGACTATTGCAGAAAAGAACCAGACCCAAAATCTGTGTGTAATTTTCCTGTTAAATACCTATCTGTTAAAGTAACTATTCAACATGTTTTATCTTCCTTTTTAATAATGATGTAAGGCTTGTGTGTGCAGGGTCCTGAATTAAATCACCAGTACTTCCAATAATAATAATCATAATAATGAAATAAAGGAAAATAATTAAAATTATTTTGACTATTAAAAATGAAGTTGAAAACATATAATCTTCCAGTTGAGTGAAACTTTTACTGAGCAAAATATTTATAGGTAGTTATACAATCTCTCCTAGGGATCAGTCATCAGTTTGTCTTTTTTTCTTTACTTTTTTTATTTAAGTTCTTTAATTACTACTCATATTTACATATCCACCCACCCCATTCCCTCACCCTCCCATCCTCCCATGTTCCCCACCAACCCACCAACCCATCCCCCACCTCCTCCCCAGGGATAGTGAAGCCCTCCACAGGGGACCTTCAAAGTCTGTCATATCATTTGGGGGAAGGGCTAGGCCCTCCTTGCTGTATCTGGGCTGCAATAGTATCCCTCCATAGGGAATGGGCTCCCAAAGTCCATTTGTGCTCTAGGGTTAAAGACTGGCTCCACTGTTAGAGGTCCCATAGACTGTCTTGGCCTCCTAGCTGGCACCCACATTCAGAGGGCTTGGGTCAGTCCCATGCTGGTTACCCAGTTTTATGACTAGGGTCTCCATGTTCTCAGTAGTTAAAATCAACTGTTTCTGTGGGTT